TATATGCTTAAATGGTGACTACAGAAAATGGTAAGATTTGAAACAACTACCTTAATAATTGTATATTGTAATAAGAATGACATATATGAATATATATGGAGGAAATAAGTAAAATTAAATGCCCATAAAAATTTTAAAATCTAAATGGTTAAACCTTATCCAAAAAGTGAAGCCTATATAATCCATTAATTAACAATGGAGATGTACAAAAATCTAATAAAATTTCAAGGGAAGCCTTTTAGAATGAAAACATTTATTTATATTTGTTAAAACATAGTATGAGACGATGTTACACCATTTCTTGCTTCTATAGAGTCATATGTGCTGAGTTATTATTATTATTATTATTATTATTATTATTATTATTATTATTATTATTATTATTATCTAAATGACTAGTTGTTCCCATCCAATATTAGTAAAATGATAAAAGTTTGGGAGACTCCAAGTATATATATATATTATATATATATATATATATATATATATATATATATATATATATATATATATATATATATATATATATATATATATATATATATATATATATATATAATCCTAAGCTTTGGTTTAAAAGCATCCAAATCAATACACTTCATGTGTAGAAAAGTGTTTGTCAATATTTTCAAGAGTGTGATTGTAATTTGAGCGGAGCTTGAGACATTATTTTGTGTTATTTGCAATAATTATTTGATCATTCTTGTTGGACACACCCAATTTTTTTCTTTGGATTTAGAGTTTTTCATGTACATTCTTGTGTCTAATTGTTTTTCTCTATTATTGTTATTTCCAATATCTTTTTATTCCCCTATTTTGGTATTGTTCCCAACTTCCTTATTTTTTTTGTGACATCCCTAATTTCACAGCCAGAAAAGAACGAGTTATTTAAACTTATTTAAAACCATACTATCCTTTTTCAAGAATAATATTGTTGGTTTGTTCCTAAAAATATGATAAAGTTATTATCAGAGTATTTCTGAAGAAATGTATTTTAATTATATTAAAAACGTTCAGATGTCATCGTCAATATAGTACATAAGAACAAATGGAAATAATAAAGGACTTACAAACATTTATTGTTATATTGGTCTATAATCCATAAATCCCTCATCTGATCATTACAGTCATGCTCTTGTACCATTACATGTAATAAAATAAACTAAGTGGGTCAGGCTTGGGAGCCTGGTGAGCGCATAAGAATTTCAACCCACAATAATTAAATTCTTTTAATTATATATATCCTCATCAAATAATTCAACCTGATTACCTGTTCCTATTATCCTCATTTTCTATCCCTAAATCATCTAATTCAAGGGCCCCATCCTAAGGATTATCTTCGGATTAAACGACAATGCTTAGGGGATTCCTTAGCAGTATTTGTCAATAAGGCAACCACATGGCGATGGAGTACACATGGTGAACACTTAGTTCAAAAATGCATACAGGTTGTGAGCCTACTAGCGTTCTACAAGACTGTCTATAATAGTCTGTGGTCGTCATCTATACTCCACTAGACGACTATCATCTTTAACTCAAGGCCTCTCATCTTATAGTTCATCTTTCATCTCTTATCATATATATCATCATTTATCTACCCATCTCTACCCATTAAGCTGTCTATTCACGCCCTTGGAAGGGTTTTGAGTCATAAAAATGGGTTTCAAATGGTTGGTTTAGCTCCATGCATCATTTAGAAGGTCTTAATGAATTAAGAATTTGAGTTAAGCTCTTAATGGACATGCAAAGTCATAAAGTTGGAAACTTTATGACTCTTGAGGGTATTTTAGCCATGGATATGATTGGATTATTGTATGTTATGGTGTTGTAGTGATCTATTAGATTGGCATCATGATATATAGGATGATGTTATGCTTAGTGATCTGTAGATCTGCCTAACAATCTGTACATTGTTTATATGTTTATCTATTATATGTGTACATATTTGGTTGGTGGTTGAGGCTTTACTGCTTTGTGTGTAAGCCAACAGAGCGGGGGCATACTAACCCAATGGTTGATTGGGCCCTAGGGTATTCTATCCCGAGGATGAAAGGACCCGTTGTATATTGGCATTCCAATTGAATGGTCGATTGTTGCTAGGGTATTCCAACCCGATTGTTGATTGGGCATGAGGTATTCCAACCTGATGGTTTATTGGACCCAACATGATGTTACGGTATATGTTATATGTTTATGTGTTGGTACTTTGGGGAACTCATTAAGCGTTGAATTACAGTTTTGGATTATGTTTCAGGTACTTTGGATGACCGCAGGAAGACAAAGACGTGACCGTACATATCATCTTGTTTATGGCTGATGATTTTGGGAGACTCTGATGTTTGGAAAAATGTTTAGAAAACTATGATTTGTAAACAATTTATGAATTGTGTTGATTTTAAAAGTTTAAATTTCTTGTGATTTTTTATGGGTGTTACAATATTAATTAAAAATTGAGACATTCAAAAGTATAATAGAATTTGAGGGAAGCCTTTCAAAATACAAACATTGAATTATATATGTTAGAACATAGTATTAGAGATGTCCACCATAGCTTTCTTTTATAGAGTCATAGGTTTTGAGCTTTTTTTTTGCTAAGTGACTAGTTGTTTCCATCCCACATTGGTAAGATAATAAATGTTTGGGGATTTGGGGATACTCTGACTTACAAGGCTTATTATTTTTACACTCCACTCTCTAGACAATCCAGACTACAAGCTATTTTGACTTTTGACTTTCTTTTTCATTGGAATGTTTGAGTAGTTTTTATTGGTTTTTTAACTGTTTCCAACATCTGTTTTCAAGAAAATTATCCACTATTTTCCATATAATTTTTTATTTTCCAAAGAATGAAAACACAAAAAACCATAACTAATTAAATTTACGTTGTCTATAATTAATACAAACTTAATACAAAATCAGTAAACTTAATAAAAGCTACCGGAAATCAAAACAAGATCGTTGGAAAATAGTCGTCAAAGTCGTTGTTCGTCGGTAAGTTGTCTCTTTATAACTTCGTATCTTCATTTATAGGTTGTTCGTCGGAGTTGTATCTTCATTTATATGTTGTTCGTCGGAGTTATTGTTCGCCGGAGGCTGCCATCCGATGGCGGTGGCGGTGGTAAAATTACCCGACAACAGTGTGATACCAAAAGAAAAAAAACCCAAATCGGGTGTTGTGAGTTTGTGGCCACCAAAAACACGTTGACAAATCTGGTACAATGAGAATGTGAGTACATAGCTCCGACGGAGGCGGGTTGGCGGTTGCAGTGCTCCGGCGGAAAAAATTGATTTGAGTTCTCTAGTTTGGCTTGTTGGCGGCAGTACACCATAGAGAGAGACAGGAACTTTAGGTGATAACGTGATATAAAAATTGATTTAAGAGAAAGTAGGGTTATATATATATATATATATATATATATATATATATATATATATATATATATATATATATATATATATATATGGAACAAATGGGCTTGTTATTGGATTAAGCTTATTTTGGGCTAAGATTTTGGGTTTTTTAAATAATTTTACTATTAGGTTTAAAAAAATATTATTATCTAATCAGTTTTTTTTTAAAAATAGGTTATTAATAATACAAAATTTTAAATAAAATTTGGGTTATTAATTAATATATATATATATATTTTTTTTTTGCAGGAAAAAATAGAGAATATTTTGAAATTTTCAACAGACCAAGTATATCTCTAATCTTATTATTTACTTATGTGTAATTAATTGATGTATTTTATTAATTTTTTTAACATGAGTTTTTTTTTTTCAATTGTTAGGTCTTTAGATCTCGTGTGGATTTAATGATGTGGGTGCAAACTAAACGATCAAAGACAATAACTAAGGACTTCATTTCTAAAATAGTACTTGGTTGTGATCGTGGTGGTATAGCTAGGAATAAAGATGCGCAAAAAAAAAATTAATTGTCCATTCAAATTGACAGGAAAGTATTTGAAGGCACACGATGGTTGGAAGTTAAGGGCCGTACGTGATGAACACAATCATGAACCATCAATGTACATGGAGGGTCATCCTTTTGCAATGCGTTTGTCGGATAAAGAAGTTTGTTTGATGCAAGATTTGACAGAGTTGGATGTGAAACCGCGAAATATTTTGCCAACACTAAAAGCGCAAAATCAAAATAATGTGTCTTCATTGAGAACTATATATAATTTTATCCAGAAGTTGGGGAGATCTCGGCGAGAAGGTAGAACCCCGATGCAGAATGTTATGCACATTTGGCAAACTAAAGGGTACAACTTACAGTATCGTGTAAACACGATTACTAACGAATTAGAAGATCTATTTTTTATTCATCCAACATCATTAAAGATGTGACAAACATTTCCATATGTGGTGTTGATGGATGCTACATATAAAACAAACAAGTATAATCTTCCTTTTCTAGAAATTGTTGGTGTCACTTCTACAAACAAGACATTTTCCATAGCCTTTGCATTCATGCATAATGAAAAATGGGCAACTATATATGGGCATTGACTTATTTGAAATTGACGATTAACGATTGTTTTTGTCCTCATGTTATTGTCACTGATAGAGATTTGACATTGATGAAAGCATGCAGAGATGTTTTTCCACAAAGTAATCATTTACTTTCTAGGTGGCATATATTCAACGATATAACAAAGAATTGTAGACAACGAATCAAACCACAAAAGACTTGGAATTTTTTTCATCTAAAGTGGACGGAGTTAGTCAAATCTCCAAGACTAAATGCATATATGCAAAATTATGCAGACCTTCAAACATTATTGTTCGAACATGAAGGTATTATTCTTATATTTGTTGAAGTCTTAATTTGTTTAACAATTATTATTAATTCATTCAAACTAATTTTTTTCACCTTTTAGATGTTTTTGATTATCTTTATACTGTTTGGTTGGGGAAGTATGCTGAAAGATTTGTATCGTTGTGGACCGACAAACATGTCAATTTTGGAAATTCAACAACAAACAGTGTCAAGAGCCAACACGCCAAGCTAAAAAAACACCTGGAATCAACGAAATGCGATTTGGAGAAATTCATATGTGTTATTGAAAAGGTTGTACAATCACAAGAAACCACTATCAAAGAAACTTTCACACGCTGCATAATCACTTATATGCCAAGGTTTAAAGATCGGATATTCGAAGTACTGCGAAAACGTGTTTCAGTGCATGTTATGGATAAAATCTTGGAAGAGCTTCATCGGTCAAAAAGATTTGTACCAACTCCTGAGAATCGTGGATGTCAATTGCGAACATGTTTTGGATTACCATGTGCTCACGAACTTGTGATGTATGTCGGTACAGGTATGTTTAATCTATTGAATTAAATTGACATTTTTATACTTATAACCACTTTATGATATTTTATCTGTTTGACTATAGGTTTACCTATTCCATTAGATTCGGTTGAACCTTTTTGGAGAAAGCTTGATTTGACACCTTCTATATCTGTGGAATATGGTGATCTTAATGTTGATCGTCGTATGCAAAGGCTTAAAGAAATATACAATAATCAACCAGATCATATCAAATACAATTATTTAAGGAGAATGGAGGAGATAACAGATCCATCAACAAATTTGATCAATGAACCTTCGGTTAAGAAAAATAATTGTGAACTCCCAAAAGTAAAGCATGTCCAACATCAAAGTCAAGCTCCTCACAGATACATTTGTTCAGACTTAAATCAGGAGCCACCACGATATAGTTCATCATTCATGGACTTGAACAATGATCCGGCCAAGCATAGTTCATTCTTCATGGGTTCATATGAGGAACCAATAGGCCAATGTTCATACAACATAGACTTAAACGAGGAACCAATAGGTGAATGTTCATACAACATAGACTTAAATGAGGAACCAATAGGGCAATGTTCATACCAGGCAGACTTGAACGAGGATCCGATAGGCTAATGTGCATACAAGATTGACTTGAACGATGAACCACCATTGGGACATAATTCATTGTTGGATGAAATTCCATCTATATTTCATTCGTACATCACACATATACAAAATGTATTGGGTGATGGAAATTGTAGTTTTCGATCAGTAGCCGTTTGTCTTGGATATAGTGAAGATTAGTGGCTTTACATCCATCAACAATTGTTAGACGAGTTATTGAGTTCATATGACGACTATACAAGAGTTTTTGTTGGATGTGATGAAGTAGTTACTTCATTGTATTTCTTTACGAAGACTAAGTCAGCACCAACAAAACATTTGATGCTTATGCTTGAGATAGGCATCTTGATAGCCAACAAGTTTGGTGTGATCGTTCAATTTTTGACCACTGAAGGCCCCGTAACTTTTTTCCTTTTTGGAGAGGTCCTAGAGAGTTTCAAAATCATCGGGTCCTTACATTTGCACTTGTGTACGCCAATCATTATGTGATGGTACAATTGGAAGGAGAATACCCAATGCCTCTGATTGCGTCATTGTGGATCCGCCACAAAGCCCCATCAACAACCCAATGATAAACTATGTATAAGTCGCGACTATAATTTTATAAGCATCTGAAACCTACTGAAATATTTTTTATGACTATAAATGATTAGTTGTTGCTTATTTTGACTCAAATTTTTGCTATGTAATATTTGAAATTTAAAAGAAAAAGATTGGTGAGGATTTGTTTATAATATATTTTTCTTGAAATTTATATCGTTGTTGTCTTATTTATCTTATAAAAATATAAGGTTGAAAATTAATAATAATATGATTAAATAATAATGTTAACAATAATAATGTAATTTTCAAAATAAATAGTATGAATAAATGGTCCAATTAAAAAAATAGTTGGATTAACATATGTAAATCACAATAATAAGTTAAATACTAAATTTTTTTACATGGATACAATAAAAGTCATATTTTACTATTTATTTATAAACTATTGTTTAAATAATAATAAGATTAATAGAAATTATTAATTGTAAGAAATAATTAATAATTGAAAAATAAAGTTAATAAAATGATTATATTATAATAAGTTAATAAATAGTAAAAGTTAGTAAAATGATTAGGTAAAGAATAACTTATAATAACTTATAGACTAGATTAAAGTGTATTAGACCAGAGTGGAGTATCCATATAACACCCTACTCATAATTATGATTTTTAGAAACTATGTTTGATATGATTTATAAAATTTTTTATCATAATTTTTGGAATGTTACAGGCTATCTCTTGAGAATTAAATTTTTATATTAGGGGTTTGGATTACTTTTTGTTTTGTATCCATTAACTCTCAATGATCGTATCTAGAGTTGCTATTAGATATTTAGATCTCATCATAATTAACATTAATCTCTTTTTAATTGTTCAAGATTAATAGCTCATCATGATTAACATTAATCTCTTTTTAATAGTTCAAGATTATCAATTTAACGATTCTTGGTAATGATGATCTTAATCATCTTATTTCAGATTTTCTACATATTGCCGATGTTTAACTTTGAAGGGTTTTAATTTTACTTTTCAAGGTATTATAAATTTTAGTTAAAATTACATGAATGATCCCTATGGTTTCTACTTCTTAAGTGATTGGTCCTTGACCCATATAAAATAACTTTTATATCATTTTTAATTTATTTTATATTTTTTTAAACTAACTTTAATTTAAAAGAAAAAAAGAGAAAATAAGTAAACCATAACTTTAATGAGATCCGATTTTGAAGAATTGCTTTTTTCACCTATGTACATGTTCAAAAACAAACAATTGAGCTAAGTACAAAGTCCTAGGCTGGGGACAAACAACACAATAAATTTAAACCACTAGGATAATCCCCATCAAAAAAATGCAAAAACTTAAGTAGTAGTGACATTTTACAAAACACATAATCCATTTTTGTAACTTTGTCTTCATAAAATAAACAAGACAAAAAATAAGAAGACACTTATGTTATTAAGGATAAATATATTCCAAACAAAACAAAATTATAAAACATAAAGGATTTTTATTTTTTAATCCATTTAAATACAAACAATCTAAATCCAAATCATATTCAAAATCCAATTAAAACAATTTATGAATCCAAACATCTTGAATTCTTATAATTAGTTTAAAGGAGGGATTGACGGGTTTTGCCGCGTGTTTACTTTTCCGCAAGACTAATTCCTTTTTTTATTTTTTAATCAACTAATGTGCAAATTTTGGTCGTTGGCGTTGACTTATATTTGAGGGCCATAATATATTAAAAGCCCAGCAATCTTTGAATAAAAGCATCAATTATTCAGTGCAATAGCTATTCGTTTCTTTTCTGATTCTGTTTTACTCAAACAGATTTCGTCTCCCATCTTTCGTCTACCTTCCTTCATCGTCGACACTCGCCATTTACAGGCCGGCTCACCTCCGCCCGCTCTGTGCTTTTCACCTGTCATCCTTCACTGTCGCTTTGCGGTTGGCTCTTACTCTATTCTGTCGCTTCATGTCTGGTTATCATTCTGTATGCAGGTAACTGTGACGACACATTTTTACAAGTTAGTTTTACATGTTGTTACACTATTTTATCTTATCAATCATAAAATTAGATCATAATCATTTGTTTGTTCATTAACAGCTGATTGTGGTTTCAATTATTTGAATTTCTTTTGTTGATTTTTTCTACATCAATTAGGGAGGGTTAACTCCTCTCTATTTGGTATTTGATTTTAAAAATGATAAATTGGGTGGTAAATATGCTACTGACCTGTTGAAGCCAGATTGTAAGAACTTTTAGGCGTTATATTCTATGAATAAAATTAGGATTTTGTTAGTGGAGAGTCTAGATCTATGTCGATTAATGTATGCACCATTTGTTTGCAAGGGATAAAGTCATTGGAGTCCATGTACTCTTTACTTTTGGTTGAAAATGCGGTTCATGTATTTTTGTTAACCAATAAAAAAACTTAAAAATCAAATAGGATGTTTAAATGGAAAATTTGGGTGTCTTTTTAGCCAACCCCATTCAAAATGTAAAGGGGTTAACCGGTTACCCTTGACAATGTTTGTGTCCACGTGACAATGAGATGGCATCCACATGGCCTTTGACAATGAAAAGTCACTTTATTATTATTATTATTATTATTATTATTATTATTATTATTTATCTTCCACCTTACACCACCACTATCTCTCATCACCTTCTTCCTAACCTACTCTCCACCATCCACCACCGCCGCCCTTCAATATTTAAACCCTTTTTCTCTTTGTGTTCCATTGTTACAGAGATGCTGCAGATTCTAGAAACAAAAGGGACAATGAAAAGCGTTGATGCTTGTTTTATTTCCTATTGTGGTGATAATAAGCTCAACTATAAGTATCCAGAACATGATACTAATGTTCTTTCTAAAAATAAAAATAAAGACACGGGAAAGTGAATTAGAAGGATTTTCTTCATGTGACCGAGTTTACAAAAAAATGTATTCTCCCTTATTAGTATGTATGAAAGAAAGGGAACATTAAAGATCATTAGGTACTTCAATATACATATTTTTATCTATAGATTTTCGGTATTTCCAAGGTATATATGGTCATGTCGCCAGCCACCCATTTCCACCATGTGAGAGATGCCTGCATCTCACTTTGACATTACATCACTTTGACATTGCATCGAACACCTAGTGGGCGATCACTAAAGTTACCAAAAGACTAGATAAACTGTTAGAAGTTTCAGTATAAATATTATATTTTTACTAACTTTGAAAAACTATAAATATATACATATGTTGTATATATAATATACTCCAAGTGGGTTTGTGCTCTTCTCCATGAGATCTTCGAAATGATATATTGTATATCCAAAATGGAGTATATATGAATGAGATATCGATGCTCAAATATGAGTATTCGAGAATAGAAGTTAGCAAGTCAGGTGGGTGTGGGAATGAGTCCAACATTGGTAGAAAGACCGTACCAATGTGAGTTTATAGGCTTGAATCTATGATAGGTTTACAAGCTTGTATATATGGTTTTACTCCAACTCATACATGCGCGTACCAAATTGTTTCTCTGAAAACAAGGGTAGTGCTCACCGACCAACATCCTTGTTTAAGGTTTAGGCATCATTGGTGTACATGAGAACATGAAGAGTGCCTGTCACATACCAAATTTTTGGATGTTTCCAGACCCATCCAGAGAACGTTACAACAATAAAGGATGCTCTAGAAAAATCTAGTACATACTAGAAGATTTCATAATATTATAGAATGTTGCGGAAAATAGAGGAACATTTTAGAATGCCCTAGAAGACATTGGAAGGGTCAAGCATATCCTAGAAAATAGTAGAAGGTTTTAGAATATAATGCCAAATCTCGTAGGAGTTTGACGTGGAATACCCATGAAAATCGTAGAATGTGAAGGCACCATTAACGTGGTAGATGTGCCCATGGATGACTATATCATGATATCAGGAATGGAATTCCTAGATGGAGTACGCCATTCGAAAATTACAATACCATGCATATCACTAAAGGTTCAATCATTCATATTGTACCTTTGATAAAAAGCAGAACAAGGTCCCAAACATTATCAACCATGTAACTAGACAAAGGACCCAAGAAGGTTGGGAAGATAAAGAAGTACAATACAGTAACTAATAAGAAGGAATGACACAAAAATGATTGGTGGTCATAACAATCAATTCAAGAGGCATGAAGGACCAAACGGTGTAGTTCAAGGGTTTACATGTTAGTGCATGACAAAATCAGAATCCAACTTGAGAATCTACCCAATATTCCACGATGCTGATATTGGAAAGTTCTAGAACATAAGAGAATTCCATGGAAGAGTATGCAACATTCCAGAACATGTTTGAAGAACCAAGAAAGTCCTAGACCTGTCTAGGACATCAAAGAATGGTCTAGAATAATACGGAAGCCATTTAAATAGGGGAGAGGTTATTGGTACTATCCATCAATAGTTGTCTTGTAAAATAAAGACTTTGAACTAATATACCTAATTGTTTCCATTGTATTTAGCCTTAGTTGCTTGTTTTCTAGTTTGTTAATATATCATCAGGAGATAAATTAACTTAACTTAGCCACAAGTATGCTAAGCGCCACACGATATTGACTTGTAGAATGAGTCAACCCATGACATCTTGTAGGAAATGGTGGTGTATGCTTTAGTTAGGTTGGGTATAATAGGTCTAGCATATTTGGGGTTTTCCCTTTTAAAAAAGCCATATGGAATAGGTAATTTCTAATAGTTAAAAAAAATTAGAAAAAAGCCATATGGAATAGATAATTTCTAATAGTTAGTTGAAAAATAAAAAAGTCATGTGGATTAGTTGTAATAGGTGAAACCGGATTCAAAATGGAGTCATTCCTCTTTTTATGACGCAAAGTAATAATTTAGGAACACTAAATACCAAAAAATATATAAATGACCTATTAAATCAAAACTAAAGAGTTGTTGGACTATAGTGAAATTATCCTATTTGCAAATTGATAATGAATTTCTTTGTAAAATTTAAGGATTAATATCACAAAACATCTTATAGTCATTTTTTTTCATATTAAACATTAACTTTATTTTTTTTCTTAAAAAAAACCTTTCATTTTTCAATTTATTCCAAATAGTCATCCGGTTTTAGACAAAACTTTTTCTGAGAAATCTCCAATTATTTTTCTGAAAAACCCTCAAATTTTTACTGTTTCTGAAAAAAAAAATCCTATGCTTTTTATCCAAAGAAAATTCTCAAATGTGAAGTTTTTTTCCGAAAAAAAAAAGAAAAAATCAGATGGTTGTTTTAGGAAAAAAGAAAGTTAAGGGTTTTTTTGGAAAAAATTGTCTAAAGCCTTAAAATCTATTAAAAATGCTAACTTGGAAAAAATTAAAAGAAAAACACAAAGACTTTTTTAGGAAAATAAAATAAAATTGAGGTTTAATCCAGAAATAAATTAAATGATAATATTTTATGATATTAACAGTAACTTTAACATGCTAATGTGGGACTAGCATGCACTTGGTAGAGGCTTTCCTTCTTAGATTGAAGGTTTCGAGTTTTAATCCATGCGTGACAAATTCGTGATACTAACTTCTAACCACTAACCCCGTCGTTAAAAAAACAGTAAATTTAACACCTATAATGTTGGTCAAAGCCTATGTAACTTGTCACTTGAGTCACCTTTGTAGCACTCCTTGTTTTAGTTGTTCTCTCAGTTGTCTTACATGAACCACGTATAATATCTACTTTCAGATGCAACTGCTTTTAGCCACTTTCTCATCTCTGTGCTTGGGTTCCTCCATTTAATAGTATTTCCATGTGGACATTGTAATTAAAAGTAGGGGTTTGTTAACTTGAAGTCATGTTCTAGGGGGTACAAAGCAAATTAAGTCATTAGATCGTTTTCGGAAAGATGTATCTCAAAATTGAAGGTGATATCTATATACTTGTGTATAAAGTGTGTTTACCCCGAAGTTTCATGTAGTACATACTTTGTAATCAAAAGCTATGAAGCCATGCGACTTGTTAGATTCAAAATCATATCATTTGGATGTATATATTCAAATTTGAAAAGATTGTTCTTGCAAAATACCAGGGTCCTACAAACAACCATTGCAAGAAATTTTTTCTTTCTTGCGTTTGGATCTTTTACTTATTTTTTCATGTCTAGTGAAATTTGGAAATTGCCAATACGTTTTTGCAATTCCTTTCGTGGGTAGTGGATCTTGTAGTTGTTTCTAGAATGGTATTTGGTGTTGATTTTTTCTAGGATTTTTTAACTTAACTTTAGATGATAATTGTTGTTTTGTTATTTACAAAATTTATTATTAAGACTATAAGGTATTGTTGTTGAGGTTATATTCTTTGATGAGACTTATGTTGCATAAGGTATTAATACTTTGGATATTTTGTAGGGACGATGTGTATGAGATCTTGTGATTGAGCCACAAGTGAGGAAAGCATGGAATTCAAATGCTTCATAGCACAATACTTACTTTCTTATGAGAGACACAAGACGTAAGCAATCAAACCAACAATCATAGCGTATTGAGATACAGAAACCGTGGGAAGGGTGAAGGGCCATCGCCCAATAACTCATAATGGTTGTTCTCTCTGAACTTTCAAAACGATCTTCATCCTCTTCATCAACTCATGGTCATATATATGACGTATTTTTAAGTTTTAGAGGTGTTGACACACGTCATAGTTTCACTAATCGCCTTTATAACGCCCTCATGGATGCCAATATCACTACCTTTTTGGATGATGAAGAGATTGAAACAGGGGAAGATCTGAAACCAGAATTGGAGAGTGCGATTAAAGCATCTAGGGCTTCTATTATCGTATTGTCGAAGAATTATGCTACTTCAACATGGTGTCTTGATGAATTGATGCTAATCCTTCAGCAACAACGTGTGACATCCAACTATATTGTAATCCCTATCTTTTATCATGTCGAGCCCACCCATGTTAGGAAGCAACAAAGTAGCTTCGGAGATGCAATGGCTAAGCATAGAGAGAAGATGCATGCAGAGACAAATTCACGTAAAAAAAGTCAATGGGCTCAAAAGATAGAGCTTTGGAATAATGCACTTAGAGAAGTTGCTAATTTAAAAGGGAAGGATGCAAATGGCAGGTAACTATATTCATACCCATATTTCCACACTCCTTTAAATTGTTTAATTAGCACATGAAAATTCAACATAAACTTCTCCTTATACATTTCAACACGTCATATTCATCAAATGTGCATATTTTTTTATGCATTTAATTTTGTAAGAATGGTAGGGCTGTTAGATTTCTTTTTGCAAAAATATATAGGGTCATGGCCCTACCTTTCTACCATCGACTTCAAGTAGTTGGGGGATCAGAGTTCATTTAAAATTACTCTATTATTTCTCGGGGCTAAATAAACATATTTAAGTCATCTTCAATAGAAACACATTAGTTTGTTTATTTTATTTAATCAAACACTTTTCATTTTTTTATTGCAAGTGCTTATGTGATAGAAATTATATTGTTTTATGTGTTAACTAAACACAAACTAATTACTATACATCAATCATACCAAATACAATCTAATCATAAGTTTATTTTTCAAAATTAATAAAACTAATTTAATATTAATTATCTTATTTATTATATATATTTTTAATGAGGGTTACTAAAATAATACTAACACTAAAAGCAATAGTTTATAATAATAATAGAATTGGTCACGAAGCTTATATAAACAGAGTCATTTATGCTAGATGTTGTTTATCTATTTTCAAACTTAAATTTTTTATGATGATGATTATTTATATTAATGAGATTTAAAATATAAAATTTAATTTTTATCAATAAAGTTCTCTTTCCTTTGATTTATCAAAATTATTAAATTGAATTTGATAAAAGTGCTCATAAAATTTATAAGAAAAATTAGGTTAAACAATTTAAGATAAACCCTTCTTCCAAAATTGCCATATAGTTGATAAGTAATATTTTTTTCACTTTATTTTAACAAAAATAATAATTAAATTGGTTTTTATTATATTTCAAAAGAAATAAAAATATTAAATAAGTATTTTCTAGTTAAAAAGTTGACTTTTATAGACTAAAAACATATTTATATGTTGTTTCTTTGAAAATATCAAAATAAATAATAATAATAATAATAATAATAATAATAATAATACTATTATTATTATTATTATTATTATTATTATTATTATTATTATTATTAGTAGTAGTAGTAGTATTTTTTATTTTTGCTTTAATTTAAGGATACAAAGGAGATTCTTTAATGTTATTGTTTATTAAAATATATATATAAACATTAACTCCATATACTTTAGATAAAAGTTAAATATACAAATATAATAAAGATATAAATAAGATTGTTTATATAAAGGATACAAAGTAAATATTTAAATATGTAATTTAATATAAAGGATACAAAGGTAACATACGATTAATTTAAAGGTGTAAACCTAAAAATATGACAGGGGTCAGAAGTGAAACTATATGGAATCGATTAAGGTTATCAAAATCCTACATATGATCGTTTTTGGATCTGTAAAATCGGGATTGGGATCTTAAGATCCCACAAAATAAAATATAATTTTAACTTATAATTTTATAACATGAAAAAGTTCTCAAAATTTAGTTTTCGTTCAATAACTATATAAAATCCAAAACATTAGTCACAACTCACAATACCAAATGATAAATAGTAAACTGATAAATTGTAAAAAGCTGGTTAAAAGACATCAAGTGCAATTTTTTTTTCCAAACAATAAAAATAAAAAATTTCAAGGGAAAGTAAGATTGGATCGGATCCTGAATCTACAATCCTACCTACGATGGTAAGATCCTACCGGTGACGATAACCTAAATACTACCATACTCGTTTTTCATACTACAGTTAAGATCACAATTTTGATAACCTTGAAATCTATGGTCAATGGTGGGGCCACCTCCCATTTTTGCAAATAGTATTCTAACAATCACATTTTTGCAAACATATTATTCTTACAAAAAAGAAAAAACAATTAAACTATCCTGCTAATTTTAATATGTGTCCTATGCATCTATTATTTTATCAAAATTAGTTCATGTAGGTAGATCATTTTAATGATTTTATATGAATATGATTTTAATTAATAAACCATAATTTTGAACAATTGTAATGCATGTACTATTTTTATATTATTCTACTGTCAAACTATATCATCTTTTATTATGATATATTAATGCTTTTACTTGTAAGTATTAAAGATTAAGTTATAACTATTCACTGACATTGTATTCATATTCATGCAAAACCATGTTGAGATTTAATTTTGATGGTTCTGTAGAAACACAATGAGCTTTGGTGCTCAGTTAATGAAATCTTGTATTACATTGGTGGCTCTGTTCTTATTAATAGATGATAACTGTGAGTTTGTATATTAAATGCTTAATTACATGGTTAGGAGTGCAAATACGATAATAGTTATGACATGAAAAACTTAATTATATAATAGCTTAATATGATATAATTTTGATTTGGTTCATTTGAAAATTAAATCTGCAGTATGGCATGTTAGTTGTTTGGGTTATGTTTTGATTTTATTAAAATCAAATTGCAGGTTTGAGGTAGAGTTTATTGATGAAGTTGTTAAGGACATCTTTCGTAGATTACGTATATCTTCAAGGTTTCCACTACCACAACTTATTGGGATGGAGGATTCCATTAACTTCGTCACTTCATGGTTGAAAGATGTATCCTCATGTACAACTGATATACTCAATATCTTGGGTATGAGTGGGATCGGGAAGACATCTTTATCTAAATATGTATATGCATTACATTCTCATGAATTTGACACAAGCAGCTTCATTGAAGATATTAGTAGGAAATGTGATGAAAAATATAATGGGGTGCTTGATGTACAAAAACAACTATGTGATGACATTTCAAAACCAAGTTCTATTCAAGTTCTTGATGATTCTATATACACCTCAATGATAGAGAATGTAGTGGCCCGTAAAAAGGTGTTTCTAGTTCTTGATGATATTGGTAGTCTCGATCAATTAGATGCGTTACTTGGAAGTAAAGGTTTTCATCCTGGAACCAAAATCATAATAACAACAAAAGATGCATGGTTGACAAAAAGTTGTTCATTATTCAAAACGAACTTTAAACCTAAGTATGCACAATACAAGCTTGAAGGCTTATCTAAGACTGAATCACAAAAACTATTGTGTTATCATGCATTTATGCGCAATGATCCTGAGGCAGGTTATGAAGAGGTCTCAGAAAAACTTGTGAAGTATTGTGAAGGACATCCAATGGCTCTTAAAGTTTTGGGTAGATCTCTACATAATCGAGATGTGACTTATTGGGAGGGGTGCATAGATACACTAAAGAAAGAAAATGATTCACCTATAAATAATGTCTTGAAAACGAGCTTTGACTCGTTGTCATCAAAAAATGAAAAGGATTTGTTTAAGCATATTGCTTGTATTTTTGTTGGAATGGATAGAAATTATACCATAACAATATTAGAGGCATGTGATATGGAAACAACAACTGGGATCACTAATCTCATCGACAAATGCCTTCTTAGTATTGGATGGAATAATGAATTGATGATGCATGAGTTGGTTCAAGAGATGGGAAGATTTGTGGTACGTGAGGAATCAATTAACAAGCCTTGGAAACGAAGTCGAATATGGGGCTATGAGTCATTTGAAGTGTTGAAACAAAAAAAGGTAAGATGTCATGTACAGTTGTTTAAAGCATTTTGTATTTCTATATACATGTCTAACATTTTAAAATTATTTTTGCATCCCCTGTTTTGTTAGGGTACGGAAAATGTTCTAGGCCTCACCCTTGACATGGAAATGCTTGAGAAAGAGAAGTTACATGGACCAATCGAGTTGAAAACAGATGCATTGAGTAAGATGGATAGATTAATGCTTTTACAACTCAATTATGTGCAAATAACCGGCTCTTACAAGAACTTTCCAGAAGAATTAAGATGGTTGTGTATGCATGGGTTCCCGTTGAAGTCTCTACCTTCAGACTTACCAATGGAGAATGTGGTTGCACTTGACATGTCATATAGCAATATTGAATCATTTGAGATTTGTTATCACTATCCAGAACGACTTCATAAGAGGCCAAAGGTAACTTATCTTCATGTATTACTCTTCTAGTTTGAGTTGATAAAATTCACTACTATTCTAACTTATCTCAATTTCAGCAATTAATTGGATCGTGCTCAAAAGATAAATGTTTGCTTGGATCGTTGAAGATTCTTAATTTAAGTTTCTGTGAAGAGCTTCAGAGTCTTCTTGGTTTTGACCACATCCCTAAACTTGAGAGATTAATACTTAAAGGTTGTATTGGCATGCTTGATGTTTGTGAATCACTTGAGCAATGTCTTGAACTTGTTTTCGTTGATCTAAGCTACTGCAACAAGCTAGGAAAACTTCCAAGCATCATAGGCATGTTGAAGAAGGTTGAAACACTTTTGCTAGAGGGTTGTAATCTTGGTGAATCTAGAATAGAAATTGTAGGTATGGATTCACCAGAAATAAGCAAGGCTAACAAAATTGGCATAAACACAATAACTTCTTCCTCCACTGTTTTGGAGGCTATACCAAGTTATTCAAAGTTATTTGCGATTTCTTTACCGAGATATTTAGTAAGCCTATTACTTAAGAATAATAATCTGTCCATTGAATCTTTTCCATTGGACTTCAGTTGCCTAGCCATGTTAAAGGAATTAAATCTAGATGAAAATCCTATTGTTTCCCTACCTAGTTGTGTGAGAAGCCTTCCTAGGCTTCAGACACTTGGTATGAAAAATTGTAATATGCTTATGTCAGTCGAGCATCCTCCACATACACTCACCCATTTGAACCTTGATTCTCATTCTAATAATCCTTTGCTACAAAAAGTTCTATTTGATCAAAAAATGTCCCCACTCCAGTTCTTTCTAGGACGTATGATCTTGGCACTTTCATCGTTTGAATTTGAAGGTATGGTCAAAATCCAACCAATGGCAGCTATTGACGAAAAGGTATTACATTGTTTGGGCTGGACTAACCTAGACTTCCTTAATGGAAGCCACACGACAACTTCTGTTGAATATAGAGAATCAGAGGAATCTGAGATACAGGTTTGGTCTAGTTAGCTATATGTCCTTGTGAATATGTGTGTATATATATAATTAATGAAGGTGGTTGTATTTGGCAGATGTATTATGAATTTGGAATATTCAGCACAAGTTATTGGGGTAAAGAGATGCCGAATTGGATAACAGATAAAAGCATTGGGCCATCAATATCATTTACAGTCCCATTATCTCCGAAGAAGCTCACAGGATTAAATTGCTGCTGTATGCTGACAAAATTAGGAGAAGGTATTGTCGTTGATTTACCGGTGATCAAAATTAGTAATTTAACAAAGAATCTCACCTGGATATATAAAAATTACATAGGTAGTGTATTCGATACTGATGGAGAGTGTGTGTCATTGTTAAGTCATTGGATGTTTGGGATGAATGAGATGGAATATGGTGACCACATTACTATTAATATCCTGAGGGAGAAACCAGATGTTTTTTCTTATAAATTTAGAATTGAGTGTGGGGTGAGTTTTGTGTATGATGATGAAGACATAGATAAAGAAGAAGATGTGTTGAGTTATTACAAGTCATGGAATCACATCATTGGTGGAGATCTTTCTGGATTTCAGTTAACAACCGGAGAATACATCCTAAGAAAAGATCGAATGTTGCGGTCTTTCATGGATATAGATTATTTGTGTGGAGATGGTGCCCAATTTAAAGGTAGATATCATTCTTATGCATTGCATTTTATCTAGATCTGAAAGATACTAAAATGATAAAGTTTTGATGGTAAATAATTCATGCTTTGGTTTTCTGCAACCAATTTCAAATCTTTAATCTATTTCTTTTCATTAGATGAGAAAGTGGATTTCATAGCTCTCTCTCAAAGGAACTCTGGTCATTTACCTGAGGATGGGCCCTAAGGTACTTTATATCCCAAAAACCCTTTTCCTGTCACATAATACAAGAACAAACAAATCAACTGTCTTTTAGGTTTGTTTTTATGTTTTCTAATGACATTGAAGGTTCTTTTTTTAGTGTTTTTTTTCTCAAAGAGTTGGATCTTCCAAGCGTTCATGTTCAAAAGTTATCCAATACTCGGTTGGATGCATTCTTTTTATATATATTTTATATTTATCTTCTCCACCAAAAAACACAGCCCATTGCACTACGTAGCTGATCATAAGACACATTTCTTTGCATTAATAAACTGATCTTATTCTCAAAATTTACCAATAGATATTTAAATCATTAGAAGGAAAAAACAAGTTACATATGCACTTCCTGATAAGTTTTTTCCAATATGAACTTATGTGTCTAAAAAAGCCGCTATATATCTACCTCTCGTATATATGTTCGATGTCTACACAAGTTCCTTTAAGCTTCCATCCGTCTATATCCTTTGAGATGCTTAAAATTTTGACTAAAACTTTACAAGATACAATCAGACAAGGAAAAAAAGGATCTGAGAGCTAATCAAAATAATGGGAAAGTTGAATGTTCCATTTTATGTTGGTGTAGTAATTTACTTTCTTGAAGAAAAAAATGAACACAAACATTTCTTTTAATATATACAACATATTATAAAAAGAATCACCTACAGAGTAAAATCCTTGGGAGCATGATAATGAGGGTATGCAACTTTACTTATTTAAACCATATTCTTTTTTTTTTTTGAACCGGCAAATCTAATCTATCCTAAGCTAACAACACCTATTCCACCTATGTCCACAAGGGGACTTGAACCCTCGACCTCAAAGAGGGAGGGCACCACCTGATACCGTTGGGCTACAAGCCCTTTGGTATTTAAACCATATTCATTTTGACATAAAAACTACACATTCAGTTGTACTTCAAAAAGAAAATATGAAGAGGTTGCAAGGGGGTAAAATTACTTGCTCTCCATGTTTATTGCTCTGCACAGTGTTAATTTAATAAAATAGCTTCCTCCCTTTTACTATCAATGAGTTGCATGTCTTTTCTGTTTTTTATTCAGGACACCAACAAAAATCACAACGTAGCATGTGTGTTCCATCTCCTACAGTTCCCAGTCCTCTTGTAGGCAAATGAATTAATCTAACAATTAACTTAAGGCTAAATGCAAGAAATAGAAACGTACTTTCAATTATCTGTGGAGTGCAAAAGAACAATTATCAGAATCTATGGAAAATGCACCAGAAAGCCAAAGTGCATCACTAGATTGTACTGTACAACACAATAACAAATTCTTGGAGGACTTTTTGGCTCATGGTTGCTGCTGTTACTCGAAGTTGCCACTTAGTTAAGTAATCTTTATCCAATATAACTTAAGAAGACGTTTTCTAGTTGTCAAAAGTTTCACATTTCATGACTACATGGCATGGCCAATTTGACGATATTTGTGAAAAATAGCTTGTAGTAAGGGGTCGTTTTCTGATGTGTCATTCGATTCGAATGGTTGTTTGCTGGGTTACACATTGTTTGATTGTTCATTTATTGGAAGTGTTTGATCATCCATTTTCCATTGTAAATGGTCTTTCTTGGGTTTATAAATAAGGTGTGTTGGACAATCTACTCAACAAATAATATGTTTATGATGCTTTATGTGTATAGTGTATTGGTTGTTGAGTATTTTATTGATTTGTTATTCTTTTTTATCATTGGTTGTTGATATCCTCTTTTTTGTTTGTATAAAAAATCATAATCAGGTTTGTTCTGTTTTGTGGAGACAATATGTGTGCATGCTGGTGTTGGAATTCATCAACATGAGGTAGTTATCTGATATGTCTTTAGAATCATATTTTTTTCTCCTCTGTGGAGGCAATATGTCGTAAGTATTAGCTAGCTAATTGAGTTTTGTGATCTTTTTGGTTTAATGTTGTTTTTGTTTGTTTGTTTGTTTGATCATGACAAGGGAGTGTGTTTATAGTACTCATGAGAATGATATGGAAGTCCAATGGATTAGGATTACTGAAAGGATGAAACACATATGTCAATAAATTTGTCAACGGAGCCTGGTATGGAAGTTCAATGGATTGGTCAAAGGATGAAACACATATATATCAATGGATTGGTCAAATGACGAAACATATATGCCTTTGTTCTTCATATTTTTTTTCCAAACACATATCTATATTGTTTAATGTGAAGGATGAAACACATATGTCTTTGTTCTTGATAATTTTTCCCTATTGAATATGGTAATTGGTAAATAGGAAATAGTGGAAAGAATTAAGACAATTTAAATTGTTTTTTTAGTGTTTGTTGTCATTGTTTTGGTGTGGTTTTTGTAACACTTAATACAAGATTTGTTCATCAATCATCATATGTTGTAAATTTTTGTAATTTTGAAACAGTTAGAAACCGTATATTACTAATATGTATATCTTTATTGGAGCTAGATATTCTTCCAAATAGCACCGCATGTTTGAGCATTTTCTTACATCATATATATGGATAACAAAATCTGCACATTATTCTATGTTATTATTTTCAATAGTAAGAATAATAACATTTGAGATAGGATATAGCAATTGTTTGTAGCCTTTTCAGTTTCTAGCATCTGAAAATTGGAAAATATTAACTATGATTAAATTTATTCGGGTAATTATTAGTTACCATTAAACGTATTCAACTTCTGACTTCATCTGATATATAATATACTGAAATTTTACTTCTCATTTACACTTCTTAATCTTCTATTCTCTTTGGTTAGCAGACTTTTTTTTTATAATTTTCAAGAATTATGCAAGCAACATGAGAAAACTGAATTTTTTTTGGAGGATGTCAAAGTTTTGCCACCCTCAACAGAACAGATGATTACAAAAGTACTTCTCCTAGAATCTACATGTTCTGAAATTCTTACCATGAAGAGTTTGATAGATGTTATGGTAATCCCTTAAAAGTCAAGTGATGATCATTGATAATTTGTAGTAAGAGTGTTTATTCAGCGTAGTTGTGTTGATGGGTTTTGGGGTTTTTTGAATATATAAAATAATTTACTTATTATTTTCATTTTTTATTCAACTACTTTCTCTTTGAGTCTTTTCAGTTGTACATGGTGTTATGATATTCTATATAACCAATTTACTATTAATCAATAACATTTATCATAAAAGCATATTTTGATACCAAATATATGGTTATTGGAACTGAAAATATTAGCATTCTACATTGTACATAATCGTTGCCAAAAAATATTTCAGTATTGCGACAACATCCTTGTTAGATATGATCGAATATAAGTATGAATAGCTTTCGATTAATAAAAAATATTTATAGGAAAAACATTTATTACTGTTCAAAAAAGGCAAGTGATAGAATTTGAATTCGTGCCTAAGAATATAAGGTTATGTTATGTAAATACTGTTAGCTTCGACAACGCACATAATCGGTCATAGTATCAAATATAATTTGGAAAATGTTCAATTGCAGATGCAAAGATGAGGAACTAATATATATTACTTGTTGGGAATATTAGCGTTTGTGGTAGAGATCTGGATACCAACTTGGATCGTGATATCACTTTCCGAACTGATATTTCTACCATATGTCTGGGTTACAAGAAATTCAGCCTAGGATAATTCAAGTGGACACTTACGTTTCTAGGCACAGAAAACGTAAGCTAATATGCTAAAAGGTTATGTGAATGTGTGATGAAAAACGAGAGCTCAGAAAAGGACCCCCTTCTGGAAAGAAAGAGTTGTTTATATATACTAAACACGATTAGGGTTTCATTAGGGTTGGGCCATCATTAATTGCTTTGGAAGCAAGTAATATTAATCCGGATTAGGGTTACCAAAAACTAACGAGTTTCGTTAGTTTTACCATAATCACCCTCAAGAAATTGAGTTTTCCATTATGTTCCCACATGCAAAATTCGGTGAGGTTTGCCCTTGGCTAGGGTCCCGCTAGGGGCGCTGTCCCTTTGGAAACCCTGGACCTGGGGGCGCTGCCCCCGGACCCCCGATTAGTCGTCGAACCGGCTTCTGGTTCGATCTTATATATGCGTGCACTCTGCACAACCCCGTACATGCATTAGAATACAAATCATGAACCCCTTAACTCACATGTTAGTTCCAGTTACTTAAAATGACATGGTGACACTAAAATCACCAACATTATTCTGGTGGCTTTAATTCATATTGGAAAAAATACTATCTACCGAATATAATTTAATGAATGTTCAAGAACAAATGCACTCGTAGGGCCAAATATACGGTGGTGGCAGTGTTAATTGCATATTTTAAAAAGATTATTTGCAGGTGTCTAATGGTATCTTTTTGTCGATAACGTTGGCATAATTTTTAGCATATTAAAATAATAATATTAATGGAATCATTGGTGATTCTATTGATTTTCTAAATACAATATTGCGTATTGCATCTTTTATAAACTAGCTAAACAAAACATCATAATTTATTTAATATTTCATATATTCTTCATGGTCTTTCTTATCCTCTTCCAGATTCTATCATCTTCATATAATTTTATTACTATTTTCTCATCTTTAATTTCATTTGTTAGATATTTAGTAACAAAATCTTTCCTTTCAACTTCAATACCCTTCAATAATGAAAGTTTCCTTTGTCTAGCAGTCTGATCAAATTTGTTGAAATATGTATGATTTAGAAGTTGCCTAATGTTGTTCGTTTTGCCAAACTTTGTTTTTGCAAATTTGGACAGTTCCTTTTCAAATTTTTTGTTAGGGAGGTTTGAAGTTTTTGGTTGGTGGGTAGAAGAAAAAAAGGATGAAGCCATCAAAAATGGTTTTTGTTACAGATTGGTTAATAGTGATTTTGTTTTGAGAGAACAATGATGTTTTTTTTTCTCTGAGAATAGAGTTCCATGTGTAGTCTTTTTATATTTAAAGTTATAGATATGCATAAAGATAATAATGAATATTTGGTAGGTGTATCTTCTAAATTTATTGTGTATATCTATAATTAAACTTATTGCAATAAGTCAATTTTGATGTCATAATTACGGTATGTGATTTTATGGCTTAGTAGGTTGGCGGCATTCTAATAGTAGTAATTAATTATAACCATCTATATTGTATTTTAAATTAAACTTCAAAAGACTTCTTTTTGTGTGTCATGTATGTATCGTATTTATAAGTCGTATCACTTTTATATTCTTGTAACCTAACATTAGTAGGTGTCATTGCATCTTTTATAGGGTAACCAAGCCAACACCTTATTAAATGTCATTTTTTGTCTATTAATGATGCAAACTACACAAAGAAGAGCCATATACTTAGATCAATGGGAAAAGATATTGAAAGGGATATGGATACGATATTATTTATAATTGAGTTGGTGTATGAGACCATTAAAGATTCAAGAGATAAGATGAAACATTTAACAAATGTAGAAGGTTTTGACATGTCGAACATTGGATTCAATGCTGAGTTATATCTCATCCAATTATGAGGAGGATATACATGGATTACGGCTACTTTGACAATATTACTTGAGCTTATGAATAAGAAGATTGACACAAAATGGAGCTAATAAGGTTACACACAAAAACTTAGTATATATTGGCCCAAGTGGCTTTGTATTTATACGTATGTTAATGTATAATTGAGTTATGGGAAAATGACGGCTTAGCATGGTATCAGAGCGTGTTTCTCTCAAACCCTAGCCGATCCCTTCTATCTTCTTCAAAATTCTGCTTCTTCCCTCCTGTTTGCTTTCTCTTCGTCCTTCTCTACAATGCCTCCTCCTCTAAACCTCCTCACAAGGCATACAGAATAACCAACATCAAGACCTACGTTCCCTTGATTCTCGACCTCAACAGCCATAACTATGATCCTTGGAGCGACTTCTTTACTACTCATTGCATTGCTTACGATCTCCGGGACCACATCGATGATACCTATGACCCACCAAACAAGCCACCCGCCAACATAGAATGGGACAGCTCGACAATCTCGTCAAACTGTGGCTGTTCAATTCGATTTCCCAGAATCTCATCACCAATGCCTACTCTCCTCTTGCATATGCCCGTAAAATCTGGTTGAACATCTCATCTATCTTCAATGACAACAAAGAAACCACAACCATTCAATTAGAAAACGAGCTTCGATGCATCACCATGGGCGACCTAAGTGTTCATGACTACTGTAACAAAATCAAGAAACTCACTGATTTGCTTGAAGGTTTAGGAGAAAAAGTCAAAGAAAGGCATGTAGTTATTCATGCCCTCAACAGATTGTCCAGCAAATTTGAGAGTCTTGCCAACATCATCCGACTGTCAAAACCGTTCCCTACCTTTTCTGAAGTGCGCTCAATCCTTACTGCAGAAGAAACCCGGCTTGCCAATCCTCGTGTCGTTGCTCCTTCTCCTGCTGCCAATCCCTCGTCCAACTCCCTTCTTCACGTTGCCACCACTCCTTCCAATCGAGGTGGTGGCGGTGGTGGTTCTTCCTACCGACGCAACGACCGGCGTGGGGGTGGTAACAATCGCCGATCTCGACAGCAAAACCCATCCGCCGGCGGTGCACCAGCTAGCGGTCAATATGGCTAGGTTTATATCGCACCTCCTTTTCACCATGTTCACCGCCCTTCATCTCCGTGGGGTCCCACTGTGTGGTCTTACGCTACTTTTTGGTCTGGGAACCATTTTCCTCAGCCGGCCCAACAATGGAGCAGCCCAACATCGAATACTCAAGGCCTGCTTGGCAGCAGACCCTCTTCGGCCCATTCTAGTGCCCAGCAGCCTCAATCTTTACCTCCTCAGGCCCACCATCAGCAGTCTAGATATGATCAGCCCCCGTGGGCATGGCTCGGTAGTAGCGATCAACCTACTTCCCTTCCACATATTTTCAACACAATGTCCCTTTCGGACCCGGGGCAAAACGGATGGGTAATGGACACCGGCACAACAGACCATGTCCACTGTAACACATGTATACTCACTTCATTTTGTAATAATTCATATACTCCTCGTTCTATTTATGTCGGTAACAGATCTGCAATACCGGTTGTGACCTCGGGACATTCAAACTTTCCTGTCTCCAATATTTATCGTTCGCTTCATTTACAAAATATTCTTATCACACCCAACATTCTTAAAAACCTTATCTCTATTAGAAAATTCACAACTCATAATAATTGCTCTGTTGACTTTGATCCTTATGGTTTTACTGTTCTTGATTATCAGACTCGTCGCCCTTTAATCTGCTATGATAGCTCCGGGCCCCTATATCCTGTCACAAGCTCCTCTAGTCATGCGTTTGTCGCTACCACTCCCTCCACGTGGCATCAACGACTTGGTCACCCAGGCAATCAAGTTTTGAAGCATCTATCATAAATAGTTCAATTTCTTGTCGTTTATCAAAAAATAATGTTACATGTCATGCTTGTCAACTTGGTAAACACTCTAGACTAC